GTCGTAGTAGTAGTAGTAGTAGCTGAAGCAGCCAGGCTTTGCAGGTGGACGAGACGGCTGTCGAATCCCTTCTCACCCTAGGCCATCTGGTCTCGGGCGTTTAGAGTTGAGGGGGTTCAGGGTTTTAGGGTTTTAGGGTTTAGGGTTCAATTAGGGCTGTTTAGGGTGTTTGGTTTTTCTGTGTTTTGCTTAAGGCTTGCCAACGGTCTGGGGAGCAGCTAATGTCCAAATATGACTGGAAGAATGCAACAAAGCCGGGTTTGTCATTGGCGGTTGCTGAATCCGCGGGCAAGCAGGCTTAAATGGGCCGTGTGTTTGCATTTGCCTGGCCCTGAGGCAATCAAGTACCTGCGTGGCCCTTTATTCAAGATTATAGTTACTTGCACTGGTCCTTACGGCTCGTTTATTAAATCAGTATAACTTGGCTATGTTTCTGACTGCACATTTGCAACATTCTGGACATGGCGAAGTGAAGCTAAAAAAACTTGCCCTCCAAAAAGCCAGAAGGTAAGTTCCCGTTTGGGTTCGGGTCTCCCTGTATTCCGAGTGGTCCGTCGAGCAGAAGTTAAGGGACTGGGGGCGAGTCAGGCGCTACGCGCCTGCAATGCGTGGCAGCTTTGCGACGCTGCGAAGGTCCTTCGTTTGACGGGGCATCCCAGAAGCCACAATGCTGTATAGGTCCTCGACCCTGTTTGGCGTAGGTCGCGAAAATGCCCTAATTAGCCAGAACGCTCTGCGGACTCGTTGCTGAGATGTTGGGCCTGCAGGTCTTGATGCAGGGTTCCTTTGGGCTACTTATAAGCCCTAAGGATAGCGGCGGATTTGCCTTATACTTTGATCTCCTCCATAGGTAAGTGGGATTCTGGGAGAGCTGGAGTGGCATTGATTCGATAGTTTCGGAGTTTGGGGTACCGGAAAGTTAGCAAGAGGGCTCCGAAATCTCACGCCTTAATCATAGGGACCCTTGCGGGGGTAAGGGGGAGGGGGGTAGGGGAGTATACTTCGTTAAATAGGCCTTATTGAGTCCTTTTTACAGGTATTAAGGCCCCCTGCACCCCAGGGCCCAACGATGCCCAAAGTCTCTACTCTGCGCGAGGCTTGTGGGTTATGTAGTGCCTTTGGAGAGTCGAGTTGAGAGGAACTAGCCCGGTCGTGTGCTCGTATAAATCGAGCTCGAACATCTCACATCAAAATCGATCAAAATCGTCGCCTGCACGAGGCAGGCAGGGAAAGTTGCGACAAGTCAACACTGGAGGTTCTGTTTGCGGTTTCGGTCGATTCAATCTGATTCTCATCTTCTGCGTGTGTGTCCACAAAGAGCTGGACGCTTGCGCTGTGATGATGTTGACCTGTGGTCATCTTGATCGCAGAAGAGCAAAGCGTTTTGGTTTGCAAGGTTCAGCAGATCGTGCTGCAGACGATCTTCTGGCCGCCGCATCGCAACGCAAGGCACAGATGCCCAAACCCTCCAGGTACCTACTATATAGGGCCCTAGGGGCTCTAATACCCTATATTGTAAGCAGCAGGGGGGTTTGGGATGGGCATGCTTCACCTTGACATTGACCGTGTGGTGGCTCTCTTGGAGCTGCGGCTGCTGCAGGACTAGGACAGGACCAGTGATAACGAAGATGACAACAAGGATGATGAGGGGGAGAAGGACGATGATGATGATGATGATAACGATGATAATGATGCTGATGATGAAGGGGCGGGTGACGATGTTGATTATTGTGGCCGCCGGAAGTCCCTCAGGCAGCCAAACAGGAGCGTCGCGCGCAGAGGCCGGCCGAAGCGGCTACGAGCTGGCGCAGCTTTTGATTTAACATCTCGGTTCTCGGGTTCCTAAACACCCTAAACCCTAAAGCCTTTAATTTTGTCAGTTGGTGCGTCTTGATGCTCAGGCCTGGCTGCTTACGGCAATTTGGGGGTTTAGGTTTAGGGTATATAGGGTTTGAGTCCAGTAGCAAAAAAGAGTATAGGTTTGGGGATCCAGCAGATTTCCACGAACAGTCGCTGGATTTTCTTTGAAAGTATCCTCAGGCCCTGCATGCAGACTGCACCGTATCATAAGCATCAGAAGCAGATAGCCCTGGGCCCTGATACCGCCACCACAAAGCATTCTGGGACTCTCAGATCCAGCAAGGTGTATGTGTATATGTATATAGCCCTATAGGGCTCTAGTTACATGCGTAATAGGTTACTGGGTTACAGGTCATATGCTTAGTATCCTATCCTGGTCGCATGTTGGAAGATGGACCCGACAACACGCATAACTTTAGGATCCTCAACAATCAGAATAGGGTTTGGGGGTATATATTATACTACAAATATAATAAGGATCCCCCAAACCCCTATTCTAAGGCCCCTACTTTACCCTTAGGATCTAGTTAGTTTCTGACAGGCACGAAACACGGGCGCTTTTCCCATCCGAAGATCTTGTTGCAGCCTCTTGCAGGGAATATGGCCTCACCAATGCTGGGGTGTTTGTGGACCCAGATTCTGTGCGGCAGATTGCTGCTTGGATGACATGGCTTGAAACTGAGATGTGGCTGCAGATCTGTTCTGCATCATAATACGAGAAGTCGATACTAATATCTACGGTAAAACTAGATCTAGTGTTTCGGCAGTTTCTAGGTCAGCATCGGCTAACATTGGATGGCCAGTTGTCAGATGCTCGACAGATAGAAAAATAGATTCTTGCTCCATAGAAGTGTCCATAACTGGCTAATGCTACACGGCTCAGCACCTAAATTTCCGATGTCCCTTGAATTTCAAATCTGCCAGCACTATTAGCGGTTTCTGCAACACATCGCGACAAGCTAACTTGCTGGGGCGGCATAAGTGTTGTACCTCTGCGATGCAAAAACGGGCTGTTGCAGGCGAGGTAAACTTGGAGCCATCTTTCCTGGCTTAGCTCTGCGAGCCGTCTGAGTCTTGATCCAAGGTGTCCATGGGTATCGACGAAGCCGCTGCCATCAACGCATTAAAGCAGTCGAACAACGACGAGCCTTGGAAGCCAAAAGACACCCCGCCAATCCCTGCGACCCGCACGAAAGTGACACTGCGGTAGCAATGGAAAGAGCAGGACGCGGTTTGCGGTACATCGCCTTGGTCTTGCCCTTGGGCAGCCTCGAGCGAAGTGTCCATGAGTTGCAAGAGCACTGTACGGTGTTTGTCGCGATGGCTGGCAGACAGCAGTGCGATACCGAACTTGTTGCTGCAATGCTGCCCCCAGTCCCTCAAAAATTCAGAATTGCCACAATTCCCTGGGGCTCCAGTTGCTCCAACTAGCAGGTTACTCGCCATATATATATATATATGTAACCCTGCAACCCATCATTTCGGCATCTGGAGCCCTTTGGGATGAGTAGATGGCCCCACAGCCGGTGAGCCCCTGCGCCGACTTAGACTCATCAGAACCTGTTGGATGCCGGCGGTGGAAACGGGAAGCTTGAAATAAGAGAACAGTCCAACTGGCTAAACCCGGTTTCGGGACAACAAGTTTAGGATTGTGCCTTGTTTAGTCTTGTTACGCGTGTTGTTACTACTACCATTACCATTAGTATGATCTCGTCAGGTTGTACCAAAGTAACGTTCAGGTTCCCGGTTTGTTTACTGGATTTCCCGCAGAGGTCATGGGTGCATTGGAGGAGATCCAGCGCAAGAGAGCCAGGCAGGAGGCTCCTTGATCGCAGGAAGAAGAGGAATGTGTAGGATACTTGGCTGATCTGTCTATCTATCTGTGTGTATACACACATACATACATACATATATATATATATAAATGCACATGTATACGCTAGCCCCCCTCCCAGGATCTGCGCCTGGCCCGCTTTTTTGTCTTACTCCTCCATCTTTCAACAACAGCGTCTCTCTCTCTCTCTCTCTCATGACAATAATCAAACGAAATTTTTATGTGTATGTATGTATGTATATATATATATATTTATATATATTTATATATTTATATACATATATAGAGGCGGAGACAGAGGGTTTAGGGTTAAGGGATGTGTGCTTGGAGGCCCAGGGGACTTAGTAAGTAGGTTATAAGTAGAGTTATAAGTGCCCTAAGTGGAGTTACCCCAATTATAACCCTACTTATAACCGACTTACTAAGTCCCCTGGACCTCCAAGTGAGGGTGAGGGGTGTAGTGTCAGTGGGCTTGCATAAACACCTCATCGAGAAAGACAAGATCTGGGGTCCATACCATAGCCCCCCAGCATCAAAGCAAAAAGAGCAATAGTGCAAAGGGACTGATACCCTAAACCCTAAACATAACCAATAAACCCCGAAACCTGAATGTCTAAAACCTAATCCCTTAACCCTACTCCCTACACCCAACAATCGCACACACACACACACTCGTTCTGAATGGTGTTTGAAGAAAGCTTCCGGGTTTTGCTGCTTAAGGTTCGGGCTTTAGGGGTCTAGTTTGGGGTTTCGTGTGATTCCGGAAGCATGGTATCCATTTTATTGGCCTCCTGTCCTGACATGAGCTCAGGGGTGGAGGCTTCAGGGCTGAGGGGTTAGGGACATGGGGGGTTTAGGGTTTAGGGTTTAGGGTTTAGGGTTTAGGGGGGGTCTGGGTGTAGTTTTGGCTTTGGTGCTTTCAGGGTGTCCGCGGACGCGAGGATTCTGGTTTAGTGCGCGAGAGTCTTGGAGTCGGCCATTATGTCCATGGTGCAGCCACAGGGTTTAGAGTTTAGGGTATGGCATTTGACCCGTAGCTCTTCGACGTAGTATCTCCCGCCGCAGCCCTGAACCCAAGGCTTGCGTGAGCGCTCGAACGTCCTGAGTGCTTGGTGAGCCCCACAAAATCGCCAACGTAACATCTACCCGTCTTAGTAGGATCTGTACAAAGATTCACACCCCCTAAACTTATCGAAGCCCTAATTGGAGGCCCAGAAAAATTCGTAAGTTGGTTAGTTATACGTAGGGTTATGATTGGGGTAGCTCCATTTAGGGGACTTATAACTNNNCCTGAACCCCTAAACCCCTAAAGCCGGTCCGCAAAGGAGGGAACCCAGAAGCCCTGCAGTTCCCATCTTCGCCCCAAGGTGCTCGTTGACGACCTTGCCTTGGCCTCCTTACTGTCCATGGGCTTCGAGCAGCTTTGCTAAAACCTGGCGAGTTTCAGACAAATGCGGACTCCAACATGGACCTGTTATCAGATTTCCTCGCGGTTCCCAACGAAAGCGAGCAGTTAGTGATGCATGCGGAGCATTTGAAGTACACGCTCATTTCATGTTCGAAGTTTCAGACCCTCTCCAAGCTTGCAACGCCGCTTCTATCCACCCATGGACCCCAAAGGCCCCACGAACAGCATCTCGAACAATTATTCGTAGTATCCCAGTATAGTTCCAGTAAGCCTTCACCATACTTTTTGTACTCCAAAACCCTGTTGCAGTTGCAATTAGAAAAGCCCCTAAACTGACCCGTGTACCGCTTACGCCAACCCTTTCAAGGAACCCTAAAGAAGAATCCTATTGAGGTCAACAAGGCCCCCCAAATGAACCCTACCCTCAACCCCAAATTCACCCTAAAGGCTCCGATATTCTGAGGCAAAGCGCCGCAGAGGCCGCTTTGAGGGAGGTGGGCGGTCAGGATGTGGAGGCCGGGAGCTTTCAGAGGGCTTTTAAGGATGGGGAGGGTCGATTCCTTTAGGGTTTAGGGTTTA